AACACCGCTTTCTTCCACCTCCGACGTATCGCCCGTCTCCGCCAATACCTCCCTCCGAAAGCCGCTGAAATCCTAGTCCATGCCTTTGCTACCTCTCGGCTGGACTATTCTAACGCCCTCCTCGTCGGTCTCCATTCACTACCATCCATAAAATCAAAATCATTCAAAACTCTGCCGCCTGCATTCTCATCCGACCAAACTCCGCTCCCCGATCACCCCAGTCCTTGCCAGACTGCACTGGCTGCCTATCCCAGAGAGGATTGACTTCAAGATCCTCATTCAAATCCCGCCACTCCTCTGCACCCCCCGACCTCTCTGGCCTCCTCTCTCCTCAAAACAGTGTCAGTTTCCTTCATTCCTCCGGGTCTGGTTTCCTCCTCGTCCCCTGAGTCCTCCGCTCCATACTCGGCGGCTGTGCCTTCAGCCACTATGGCCCGAGGCTTTGGAACTGCCTTCCTCACTCCCTTCGCCTCGCCCCCTCTCTTCCTATTTTCAGATCTCTGCTGAAGACCTTTCTTTTTGACCACACCTTTGATCACCTTCTCCCACCCCCCCTTGGCTCAGTCCCGGGATCTGTTACTGTAAAGCGCTCTGAGACGCCGTCCGGCGTGGAGGGCGCTGTATAAATCCAAGTTGTTGTTGTTAGTCGATTGGCAAATCGCTTTCCTGGTGGTAATAATCCCTTAAAAATAATTGTAACTTGGTGACTCAATCACAACGGTTTGTGGGGACGCTGCTGTGCGCAATTGGCTGCCGCGTTTCACCCACAAAATATACAGTCAATTCACTTTACAGTATACTCTGTGAAGCGCTTTGAGACGTCTCGAAGGCGTGATAAATCACTGTATCAAATGCGGGGATTATTATTATCATCATCATCATCATCATCAGAAAAGCAAGCCAGAGGCCTCTCCTCACAGCTGGCAGATGATCACACGACGCTATGAATGAAACAAAGCTACACTGGACTGGGTTCATTGTGCAAAAAAATTTAAACCTCTACAGTGACTACTTGACAGGTAGTGAACCTTGCTATCTGTGCAGGTAGCAGAAAAGCCAGAGCAAACAACAGCTCAGTCCCCGTTGATCAGCTGCTCCTGCTGTGCGTTTGATAAGACAAGCCTTGTTTACCGGATGCTGTAGGATTATTATCCCCTAAAGTGCTCTCCACATGGAGCTTTTTAATGTGTTTTTCAATTCTGAATTGTACATTAACATTTAGAAATGATTGCAAATAGCCTTCCTGGCCTATTTACACAAGGATTCAAAGTCAATTTTCCTACTCAGGTCCACCTGCAGAGATCCACTGCAACTCGATACGTATGAATATTTCACTGAAATTTCTAATCAAACAAGATATTATGAACAACATCACAACAACAAACAATTGGACTGCAGTGGTGGGGGGAATACAATTCACACAGGAAGCCCTTATATGTGCCCGCTCATTGCGCAAGACCACCTCCCCCATCAGCCATTTTTATAGTGAAAATTATTGCTAAAAACTCAAAAAAATCCAAAAAAAGTTAAATAAAGCAATGCTATTCACCCAAATAATGTAAAGACCCAAAAACGAAAACGCCATGTTTGCAGTACGTCTGAATCTTACATGGATTAACTTTCGCTGTACAACTGTGCATTTCTGACTGCATCAGTGTGCCCATCAAGTTTGGTTTTACAATTGCTTATGTGCGTGTGTTCATACAGTCTATACAGAAGGCGGAGCAAGCACTGAGATGTGAGGCTGTTTTACAGGGGTGTTAGGAGCTCCCTGATCATGTTGATCTCTTACCGGAGCACGTCTAACGCAGCTGCTGGGTGCAACTTCTGAGACTGGCAAGGAATTTACATAAAACCGGTTGACGATGCTGGAAAAACGGGGCTAATACGAGGAATCTGAGCAGACTACACTGCCCTCTAGCCATCGATGCAGAAAGAATCTTAAAATCCTTCCAGTAAAACAGCCACTTTGTGTGAAGCGATTCCCCCTATCCCCACCCCGCACACCCCCGTCATAGAAACATAAGTAGCCCATTCAGCCCCTCCAGCCTGTTCCACCATTCCATTAGATGACGGCTGATTTGTTCCCCAACTCCAATTACCTGCCTTTGCCCCATATCCCTCGACACCCTGACCGAACAAAAATGAGCATTGTCGGTCCTGCATAACTACATTTCCAAAGCTGCAATCAAAACATTAAGTCTCTGTTATAAATGGAAACTTGCACGACACAGAGTACAAGTACATATCAAAAACACTGGTAAAAATTCCTTTCGTGGATTTTGAAACAAAAAATCTAACTTGTTATCATTTGCAGTAATAATTAACATTATGGCTAATAATATTAAAAAAAAAGTACTGTAATGGAAATTCTGGATTAGACATATTTCTTTGCATTATTTTATTTTATAATTTGGCCTATTCCTATCTAGTAATTCATTCATTATTAAACTCTACAATGAAATGTACTGCACTTCATCCAATGCGAGGACTGTTATTAATGTAATGTATTAATGTAATGTACTGCAGTCTACGCACTTTGAAAACCTTCACATACAGAGTACAACATCGCATGTACTATGAACGTACACAATGCACACTACAATTGTAGCTTGAGTGTAAAAGCTGCACTCGTGCTAGGTTAATTATAGATAACATCAAATTAATAACCTGTTTTGAATATTTCTTCAACTTCATATATCTTCGCAAACAACAGCACTGGTGCCGAAAGGCTGCCAGAGGTTTCTTGCGATGACTGATTGGATTCCACCTTGTACGATTATATTTGGGAACTCAGATGGTGAGCAGCAGGGATCACGAGGAGTTAAATAAGACTGTACAGCACTGAGATAAGCTAAGAGCCAAGATTCTCCCTACTTAGCTCCTGTTAACCCTGCAAGCCAAAACCCTAACGGCGAGGGTGCTTCTAGCTAGACAAGCAAGAGGAAGCTTGCCAGATAGTGCGCTCTATGGCAAGTTGTGCAGTTTCAGCTGGTTAGATTCCGACAGTTACCCCAAAGGACAAAAAGTGTCCCGACACAAACGACACTAATGCCAGATCCACAAACAAAACACAAAATAAAATGCCCAGGTTGAGTCTGCAGAGGTTAACACTCAATGATTCCATTAAAATCCAGCGCTGGGTAATGTTAAGGTTCATGGAATGAATGGATGGGAGGACACACCACAGCTGGAAGTAAAGCAAGACTTCCGTGACACAATCGCCCACCAAATACACAGTCACTACACTTTACAGTATATTCTGTGAAGCACTTCGGGATGTCTCAACTGTGTGTGATAAGGTGCTCTATCAAATGCAAGGATTATTATGATTATTATTATTGTTATTAGTGATACAGTAAAGGATTAGCTATGACCTTGGCTGTGCCTGAGATCTCTTGTTTTGGAAAGAAAGTGTACAATGGTGAAAACGGTTCAGAACCGATGGGTTAACTGACTGATTGTTCGATAGCAAAAACTAATATTTTATTCCGATTAATAAGACCTTTAACTCTCTCATCCCTTCCTTTCATTTCCTCCACGCTTTCTGCGACAGGATTGGGGAGAACAGGGGCTTGAATGGTAAATTACACCGCTTTGAACTGCGGAGTAGTCACACAGTGTCTGAAACACACACACAAACACACACTTACTGTCTGACTGACAGACACTACTTACTGTCTGACACACACACATTTATTGTCTGACACACAGACACACATTGTCTGACACGCACAGACACACACACTTAATGTCACATACACACACACTTACTGTCTGACACACACATACTGTCTGACACACACACACACACACTTATCTGGCGTTTGTTACTGTTTCTAGCAGTGATTTTTAAAAAAATCATCATAAAAATAACTTCAAATGAGCAAGACATTGTTAACTGAAACGTGTTCTGTTTTGGATGGGAAAGATAAACACAGAATAATTGGAATCAACCAACACAGCATATGCCTTGAACAGTCAGAGAGAGAGAGAGAGAGAGAGTTATATTGGGTTCCTGATGTCCTAACCTAGAACCATTGACCATTTAACCAGTCATTAAAACAGGCAGCTTCTGGCTCTCAATGGCATTTTAATGAAGATTTGGGAAGTGGAGGCATCCTTGTGTTGAGTTGTGCTGGGCATTACCAAGTGTGCAAGAACCTATCCAAGGCAATCTAAACCCAGAACAGTATTCCTCTCCACGTTGATAGCCTGGAACTCTGCCCAAAGCACTCCAACCATCCTCTCCAACCACCTGCTCTGAGCTGAGCCCATTTCCCCCATCACCAGGTGGGGAAATAACACTGAGAATCTCAATCAGAGTGGGGGTGAACAGTCCCTTTTTACCCAACATTGAACCAGCGTTTCTCCAAGTGAAAAAAAAAGCATCTCATCCTCCTCCTGTGTGTGTTTATTAATTACAAACAGAGACCTTGAAAATCCCTTTGCACCTCAGGGTTTAACCAGGTGCAATTTCAATCTTTGTTGAATGATGAAAGAAGGGGCACTGCTCCTTTTACATCATGTCCTTAACCCTTCACTCCCAATCCCCCCATATTACACCCACTGACCATTCCCCTCCTTATCTCATGACCAGAGATTCCTAACCCTATCATTGCCACCAGCCCAGCTCCACTTCACAGGGACTAATACAGCTACTTGACATTTTTTTAAGCATCATTTAACCTTCTCACTGTTTTTTTTCCTCTCTCTCTCTCCTTGAAGCAACGCTTTTAATCACCTTTCACCCTGAGTCACTCCCACACTTTGCCCCTTTGGCTATTTCTTTGTGCAAATACAGATATATATTTCATTTAAAAAAAACACACACACACATACATCACGAATCAGGAGCCAAAGGAAACACTGGGCAATGATTTATCACAAAGCCAGCCACTCACACAGGTGTGAACATGTCCTAAACCATCTTTTCCAACAGCACAGACTGTTCCCAAGGTTAAAAAAAAGAAGAGAGATGAGCTGTTACTGTAACTCACCTCCCAAAGCTTGTTTCATAACGAAATCCATGTCTTTCAGCTAATTGTCTCGACTCACTTCTGTGCTGACTGGAGCAAATTTCATTCAGGTCAGGTTCTTTTCCAGGTAAGTGGGGTTTGAGTGAGGACAGAGTCAGAGCTGAAAGAAAGCAAAGAGAAGGAAAAAGAATTACTCCAGTGACTGATCCATCCACTAGCCCTTGCCCTTGCCCTGACCAGCCAAGACACCCAGTCAGTCTCTTTTACCATCTGAAGCCTGAGCCAGCTACAACAACAACAACAACAACACCACCCAGGTATTCACAGGGTAGTGTGGACTGTTCTCTCCTCTGGTCTGTGGGAAATGCAACGTGCAAAGCCTTTTGCATGTGTCTCCTGGTGGATGTACTGTGCAGCAAGTGTAAGGAAAGGCGTGTCTGTCTGCAAGTTACACAGACTGAATGGAGCTGGGAGCCCTGAGAGAGGACAGCACTCCCTCTCGTGGCAGAGAGTGCTACCCTCGTCAGGTATTATTATATGTCATAATAAGAAGAATTATAATAATCCTTGCATTTGATACAGCGCCTCATCACGGCTTCGAGACGTCTCGAAGGCGCGCCACAGAATAATATACCGTAGAGCGAATTGACTGCCTATTTCGTGGGCGAAACGCCGCAGCCAATGCCGCACAGCAGTGTCCCACAAACGGTCGTGGATTGAGCGACCGAATTATTATTAGTATTTTTTTGCAATGTGACAACGTACACGGAGAGACAGTGCACGCTCTGGGGTCCCCCAAGCCTTGGCTCTGGCCAACCTGTGCTTAATACTTTCTGGAATTAGGTAAGCAGGATGAGACCCTCCACGGAGAGAGGGTTTCCACGTGTGTCAGACACCCGGCTGACCAAAAAAAAATACACCGAGAAAGGCAAACGGTCAGCCGGTGGGGGGGGGGGGGGGGGGTGTCTTGACACGCGCAGAAACCCATCATCGTGCTTCAGAGTATCCAAACCAAGATGAGAATTCCAGATGACAGAGAGTGTGAAATTCCCTTATTGCAGCGTTCAGCATCCTTCAGTCATTTCCTAAACATGACCTAACCCCCCCACACGCCCCCACTTCCCTAACCCTCACCGGCATCCCCAGCCCAAACACAAGGCTTCCTGCAAACAAACAGTGTGAAGCTGGCTGGTGACTGACATTGCAGGAACAGTAAGACTACACATCTCAGAAGTGCAAACTGCGTGTGTGTCCCAACACAGGAGCACCTTGCTGGACTGACCAGGGCAGCACAGACAGAACAGCCTTCCCTCTGCACCATAACAAGTCCAAAGGACACTCGTTGTGTTTTCCTGGAGAACACAATACAGCACGGAACCTCATTCGGGTAACAACACTAACTTCCAGGAAACAAAAGCGCTAAATAAACCATGTGTGTGTGTATGTGTATATGTGTATGTGTAGATGTATTTGTATGTGTATCTGTGTGTGTATATGTGTGTGTGTGTATATGGATTTGTATGTGTGTGTATATGTATTTGTGTGTGTGTGTATGTGTGTGTGTGTGCGCTCAATCCTTTCTCTCTGAGCAGCCACTCTCCTGCACTGTAATTAACCAATAAACAGACATAACTCTCTCTCTCTCCTTCCAGCCAATGTGGCAATGACTCCAGCCGCTGCTTGTCTCTCACCGTGAAACTCATATCAATCTTACTTGTAGGTTGATGGATGAGCTGCGTGGCTGAGAGCCCTGTGATGTGCTCTGTATAATGTGTTACCTGCCTATGATCCACTGCCCACAGCTGCCAGCCTGAGAGACAGCAGCCAGGTTCTGCCTCTGGCACGAACACACTCATTGCATCACAAATTTCACCCACAAAATACACAGTCAATCCACTTTACAGATGTCTCGACGACGTGATAAGGCTCTATATCAAATGCAAGGATTGTTGGTATTATTATTATTGAGACACAGCCACGCCATCTTTTACAAAAACAGGTATCATTTCACTGAGGTTTCTGATTTCTTGTGACTTTGAAACTGTGGCTGTGGCCAGACACAATGAATGTGTGATCTTTTCCTCCAGCACAGACTTTACTGTTTCCTTCCCCTGTCAGGCAAAGCACACACACACTGTCTGCCTGATGCTGTAACTTTAAACCTCACTGAACCGGCAACAAAGCATCATTATCATTGCTTCCCTCTGCCATTTTCCCCACAGGGGACGCAGCGATGCATCCATTACTATAATCAGTCACTTAGTATTTGCTGTGAAGCATTGTTTGCATTATTACTGTAACTATCTGCAATTTCCTAGTAATCAAAAGTAGCAGGTTTTATTATTTTTCAGCACAATAACATGACAAACAGAAGCTTATGCTAACTTGCGAGGTGTGAATCAAGCCAATAAACTTTTATAAAAGTTAAGACACTGGTTATGTTCTCTTTAACCTGGATCAACGAGATCCCGTAGCAAAAACTATCCAAATCCTGATGACACATTCCACTCACAGGCAGAGATCAATGAGCCGTGGTTTAAGTGACCATTTGCTCCTATTTCCTTAGAGACTCTGGCAAATGTGTTTAAAGTTCAATGTGAAACATCCCCGTCAGCCATGCATGCTCTGCAATTGGACCTAGAGACACCAAAAGGCTCATCTTAACATAGCGTAACAATAAAGTCCAATTCTCAAGATTACAGTATGTGTGTGCCAGGTTTACACCACAAAATACACAGTCAATTCACTTTACAGTATATCCTGTGAAGCGCTTTGAGACATCTCACCAATGTGATAAGGTGCTATATTAAATGCAAGGATTATTATTATTATTACACCTCAGAGGGAGTGTAAATGAATGAGTAAGACAGTTCAATGTGCTAACAGTTAATTCATTCAACCATGTTTACTCATGCAAAAAAAATTGTCAACATAGTAGTCACAAACACAGCAATAAACTCAGTTCAGGGTTATCAATGCACAGGACTAATTGGGCTCAACTCAACATTTCGTAAGCCAGCTGCAGTGATACAGTATTAGTTAGGTTCAATTTAACATAGTGTAAGGGTGAAGCACAATTCTCAAGATTATAGTATGTGTGCCAAGTTTAGCATTCACCATCTCTATAGCAAGGTGACCAGAATCATTGGATTTCTGTTGGGTTTGCTTCAAGTTCTCAATGAGAAGGATCTTTCCCCTAAGTTGTTTTTGACGTTAGGTTCAGATATTCACAACGTAAAATATTGAGTGCATAGTGACCAGTTCACCCAATGTCCTTAATGTGCAAGGAAACAAAGTTATACTCTCACATTGGGGAAATGAATTCATTCTAACCACCCCATGACCAGTGATGATACCCACATATACAAACAAGGACTGTTTGTCCTTGAAATATCATTAGGAATACAGGACTAAACACCCTCTCGTCCCACCAGCACATCCCAAAACAAACTGAAATGCAGAAATGTGCACTGACCCCAATAAACTGTCAGGAGTAGGTTAGCTTTAATCCATCTCCATTAGATTCAGCATTATTTGGAAGAGCTGGTGTCAGGATTGGGATTCACACCAGCTACAAGATAAATATTCTAGCTAAGTGCATTGTGGCCCATCAGAATGCTTGGGAGATGTTAAAGGATGGTTTTAGAGTTGTTAAAGAGAGTCTATTGCGTGTCCGACTGTTAAACAATCTTTGTGACAAACACATCAAACAAGCACGTGTTTGTTTTTACCAGTCCCCTTCCCAGGACATAACACTTGCCTCATAAACACAGCAAAATAAAATTAACATTCTGAAATTTACTTCTCAATTATTCAACATGTTTTTAATACTAAATTATTTAAGTTATCTGAAAATCTCCCTCTCCTAACAAATCTGAAAATGTTGATGGGGAACGTTAATATCCAAGAACATATTTTTTAAAGACCATTTGTATTTTGAATAATTTTTAAACTATAATCCTGAGAGAAAATTCATTCAGTGTTATGAACGATAAAGTTCAAACAAGTACTGAATTATTATTATTACAATCATTATGTTTGAAATTATACCATGGCTGCCACTAGATTCATTTCAAGATGTGAATTATCCAAGATTTCATGGTCATATCACATCCAGTAAAAATTTGCATGATTTACTATTTTAAGCACAATGCATCTTACCTTCTGCATATTGTACCATTATCTCAGCAGAAATGAAATAACCATTTTTAGGGATCACACAAATCCTTTTTTCAGATAACAAAATAAAAATATTGTAGGAAGCGAAGCTATTAGCATTTCAAATATATTAATGCTCCCTTTTTGACTGGAATATTATCTTCTTCATTTCATTCTTCGGGGAACATGAATACACAAAAATCCAATGTTTTTTGATGGAGTTACTTTGTTTATTTTTTTATTGGCAAACACATTATTCAACACGAACTGAATTGCGAATACATGAATTGTAGTTGGTCAGCCAGGTATCTAACACATGTGAAAGCCCATCAAAGTGGTTAAGAGCATTCAAAACAGAATGAGAATTCCACATAACGCTGTCACCTACACATAGACATTTACGTATGTCTGAAATGAAATGCATACTCTCTCCTCTGCATACCTAAACACTGAAAAGTATTATTAATAATAATAATCTTTGCATTTGATGTAGCGCCTTATCACGTCTTCGAGACATCTCAAAGCAATTCACAGAAATTGTTAGATGCAGATTATCAAGAGTCAAGTCTTGGGGACCCCAGAGTATATTGGGATTTGACAAGATAAAAATCACAGTTTGCCATTCAGATAACTATCTGGCAAACTGCCAGCTGGCCTTTAGAGCTTCAATTTATGGAGTTAATGGGAGCCGAGTGTGAAGAATCATTCCCCCCCTTGCTCCTCCAATGCAGACCAACCTGTCTCAGGGATCAGTGAACTAATACTGCCACAGAGGGTTAACTCAATTCCGACATTCTGTCACCTTGGAGCATAACTCCAAGGAGAGCTCATTTACCTCCTTCCCCCATCTCCCCCCCCCCCCCCCCCCCCCACTGCCCTAGGATAGTCAGGAAAATACAGAAGAGAACAAACACACAATTACCAAGACTGAAGCAAGAAGTTACTGCAGTTACTATAGCTGTAGATATATGAACAGATTCCCATCAAAGCATTGAATTTTGAGTTGATTATAACTCAGAATAGCCTTTGAGGAATAGCCTAATGAATATGAGAACGTTTGAAAGGTATGTTTCAGTTAAAGATAAGCTGAGATACAAGTACTATATGGAAGTTTGCTCCCTGTCCTGCTGGGACCATGGAAATGTCATCTGTGGTGAAGTGCAACCAGTCAGGGTTGAACAATACAGATTGTGATGTTAGATTTATATCCTGAAGTTGGGCTTGATTACCTTCGGGACTCAGGGAGAGGATTCACGGAGCTTTATCTTACTGAAAGC